GGGACTAGTAGCGTTGGTGCTGTACGCTTCGTTCGAGGCAAAGCCCTCGCCACAAGACCACAAGGCACAAGTCCTTAGCGTCCAATAGCGGGGACGGTGTAGTCCAGCGGACGGTGGCCCTTGAGGTCTGAAGGTACACCTGCCGTGCGAAAGTGCTCTCTTAGGCACTCCCATGGAGGCCCCAAAGAACCCGAGTCGAGCGAAAGAGCAGGTGGCTTTTGCCGCACCAATTGGGCCCTTCGCCTGACCGGCCGCACATGACCTACTGCATCAACAACACGATCATCTGGCCCAAGCTTTTTAGTGAGGACATGAAGAAAGAAACACAATAAACAATTCGAGTTTCTGGCTTGCGTGGCAGTTCTCGAGCTCCAAGAGGTGTGCACATTCAAAAAGGTACAGCTGAAAACAAGGGGCATCGTGAGCATCAGAACATCCTATACCACTGCTGGCCAACCCAAGCAAAATCCGACGCTGACCCCACCAAGACCATCGAATCTGGCTGTGACTGCCCAAGAAAAAAACCGATACCTACCCAATCTCCAGGACCCGCATCGGTCGGATGCGACCCCATCATGACCACTTCGGCGACCACGTACGACCCATACAGACGACCCATACGGACGACCCTTTCCGACGGAGCGACTTCTCGCAGCACTCGAGGTCACTGGCGCCGTGGCGCTTGTGGTGATCAGTCTTAGGAGACCAACCCTCACCTGGTACAGTGCGGATCTGGACGGGCAATCCGTTAAGAAAGCTAAGAGGCGGCAATCCGTACTTACGGTTTGTTGAATCCTCTCAACGGCCTATAACGGCCAAAAAATTAAGTGTTTTGGTTATCTTCTTTGTTCTGTTTGATGCCATCGCGCGCCGGAACCAAACTTCTGCTTCCTCCGGAACGGAATCGACATGACCTTGACAGATGTGTTGGCAGTTCACCCCACCAGAAACCAGACCCAGCCACGGCAGGAGCCCTGCTCTCCAAGCCACCGCAGTGCTGCCGAGGGTTGTCAATGTGGTGACGGTGAGGGGCAAATGTCAAGTACAAACCACATCAAACCACTACCACAAAAAGCTGGGGGATCTTACGTGAATTTTCTATATGACAGGATTTCTCTATCAAAAGCACGAGGTACGTGGTTGGCTTAAAGAACTGAGTTCCAAACTGCACTGGTACTCATAGCATTCCTTGGCCAGCGACAGTCAATGTGGTCAGATAACTGGATCCCAAACTGGTGCAAAGAACATATTCATTGCCATTGTTTGAACATTTGGACTTTTCCTGCTAAGGTGTCGATGACATGGACAGCCACTGCACTGATTGTGCACTCCTTCCACTAACGGGCCTCGAGGAAACCATGCCCGGAGATGTATTCTGAACCTTTACGCTGTTTTGTTGCCGCCGAACCTGTTGTGCAACATTGACAAGCCCATGAGATTCTACCCTCTTGGTGCTCCTCTAATTCATGGGATTGTCGCACATTTGTTCACAGTCAGTGTCAGTGTCCTCACTCTTGTTTGGCTTTTCCTGGAAGGTACGAGGCGGTGTTCATGGAAAACATCCGTATAATTCCGTATATGAAGATCTACCTTTCATGGCGCTGTTGATGCTAAAGAACCTGCGTTGAAAACAACCTTTGCCTCGAAATAGAGTAGAGTAGAGGCTGGTTTGGCTTTCAGGGAACACCCCAAGCCCCAAGCCCTAGATCTTCCAACATAATACATTTTTGTGTGAAGATCCGTGCAACATGGTGCAAGAACACGCTTCCTGGTGTGCGTTGGAAAGCTCTAGAAGTGCAAAGCCACATAATGATTTACGTGTCTATACCTATACCTTGTGTGTTTGTTATTTTCAATCTCAAGGCATTCCTGCTGCTTGCAATCAAGATGCCTTGCCCTGGCTGCCTGCAAGTGCCCGTGACATGCCCGTGATGAAGGCTCGGATTCGCAGGATTTACCTAGATGGTGATGCCTTGGGATACCTTCATGTCGACCGAGAGCTTGCTACTTGATCACAGCGTTTTGGAGGCTGAGTCTTCACCCGCGAAATAGTATGAGCCTAGCTGGTTATGTTGAGGTGACGTGGGATCACCAAATCAGGAATGACTACATTGATGTAAATGTCCAGAACACCATTATGCTGGTGCAGAACATCCTTATGCTGGTGTTTAGGAAGGACATGTCCACTTGATCATGGTGGATGATTTGCAAACACTTTGTTTTTCCTGCTCCTCATGTGAAAGCACTCAATACATCTCAATACCAACAATCCGGAAGAATCAGCTTTCACAAATCGCATCAGGACACCTTCACTCTGCACCCGCCATATCCCCCCTTCCGCTGTTTCCACATGAGCAGCTGGAAAAAGAACGGCGCTGACAAGAATGACCAAGGACATCTAAGGAGCAAATTCCCTTTTCTTCATCCAAGTTCAGTTCAGGTAATTGAGGGTCACAGCAAAACCACTCAAAAACCTCGCGTCGCCCCTCGCGTCGCCGGTTCCGGTGCATCACCGCTTTCGGCCTCCGTGCTCCTCGTGGCGCAACTTCCAGGCACCGACCTGTCGAAGAGGTTTTACGAATGGGTACAGGTAGTGTAGACTCCTGGAGGTGCCACCCATCTCGTGGAAGTGCCATCTCAAGGTGTTACAATCCTGTTGTTTTCAACAAAAACGCACCCATTGAGATTGTAACACCTCACATGGAGGTTTTATGAATCCACAGTTTACCCTACTGTGAGAGAACGGGAAAGGTAGGCTACGATAGGAGCTGATCACAATGACGCCAGGTCAAGGATAAGACTGTCGAAAACGAAGTCAACATGCTTTGGACCTCTCCCCGTTTCTGTAAAGGAGACATTGCCTTTAGAGATTCGGTTGAATTTCTGCCATCAATTGCTTATGCGAAGTCCACGGGCTTAACTTCAATTAAGGGCTGGCTCTATCCTGCTTGAGCGTTTTCCCGCCTTTTCATGCAACTGGAAAGCACTCAAACATGCTAAGCCATGCTGTTCCCCTACTTGTGGGAAATTATCCCCAGATTCCGTTGCGGTCCAACCTCCCTCTTCACAAGGCATTTGCCTCAACTCCCATTCATCATCCACCTACCCTCCTCACTTTGTCATTATCACTCTGGTCCAGTCAAAATCCATTACTTCTTTTGGGCAAGGGTCTCATTTGCGACACCAAATCTGACTCAATGGCGACACAAGTTTGGGGTTATTAGTGTTTTAGGAGGGTTTTGGATATGGAGAGATAGGTTGCATCCATCCCCTTACCGCCAGTGGCGTTTTTGAGGGAACTGGCGACCTCTGTTTGAGCCGCGCCTGGACAATGACCCACACCCATGTTCTGGATGCGAGGCACTTCCTCGGCCATCAGGAACTATGCGTTTGGGATGCCAAAGGGTTGTTGGGGCTAAAAGCGAATAGTTGAACGACCAATGGTAGACAATCTTGCATCATGCTTCGTGGTTCTTTCTTCCATATAAATCCCAAGTCACGTGCTCAAGTCTGAACTCGTGTCCACATTCACCTATAGGGCTGTTCCTACCGTATCACGTCGGTCCATCGATGAGGCTGCAGCTTTATCTGTGCGTCATGGAACGTCCCACCGCAACCCTTCCCCATTGATCCGGTTTTCAAGCAGCCTGAATCGGCCTGGTGGTCCAACCTGTCTGATCGGTCCAGCTGATCGCTGGTCTCCGCGTTTCGGACTCACAGAGCGGAGCGTGAAACAAACCACGAACGACTCACGGAGGCGAAAGGGTTGACCAATATGAGTGCGAAAGGTCTAGTTGAAGGCCAAGCAGTCCAGGTCTAAATGGCTAGAAGATGCTAGAATGGATTTCTGACAGTTTTCAACCACCACGCAATGTCTTCCACCTGCAGTGCTTTGTGGTGCTTCTAGCTCTCCAGACCAATCAACATGCTTCGCTAGAACACTTATCAGCAGGCCTAGCTGACACCTGCCTGACACCTGCCTAGGATCACCTGGGCATTCACAGAATGTCGAAGAAACGTCCCTTGATCATCCAAGTCTCATTGCTAGGGGCCTGGGTACCAACCCCCCCACACCTGTGGGGGGTGGCCCATCGGTCGCTTTGAGCCAAGATGGGAGAGTACGGCGGCTGGCATTCTCTGCGGCCCGTGTGCGGCCAGCAAAGCTCCACTGATTCCATTGATTCGTCTCGATTTTGTGGTGGCCTACCGCACTCGATCACTCGATCAATTTTTGTCCACTTTGGCAAGATGCGTTGCGGCGAAGTGAAGGCCGATCATGCTGTGAGTATAGATGTTATTTAGTAAAATTGGTGATAGTTACTATACCATAGGTACTAGTTACTAATTACTGGGCGATGGCCTAGCTGTGGGCCTGCCACACAACTCGGCTACAAGGCTACAAGATTTCATTGGCCCTTGGATCGTGCTGGTACCAAGTTTCTGTGCTAAGTGGGCGTTGTTTCTGTGACTCATAGTTGACCAAGAATTACAACTTTCTGCTTCAGGGCTTGGATGTCATAGGGGGGCATGATATATCATGATTCTTTCTGGTGGCGTGGAGCATTGTTTCAGAAAATAGCAGTCGATGACTCCGAACCGCTCGACGGTATTTTCTTGCGAACACCCCAACAAAAATCTGGACATTCTGAAGATTGCACATGCTGCTCAAACGCTCTTGCACATTTTCAAGACACATCCCAAACAAAACATAACCCTTGTCAGGAAGCTTCGGAAAAGGATCTTTCCATCCCACCATCGACAGTGGCTGCGGCTCACGCGTCTTTCGCCACGGTTGGACGTCTATGTGCGCCGCGTCTTGCGGCCAAGTGAAACCTTTGTGAAATCTCTTGGTGGATCAAGTTCAGGCTTGAATCTCATCATCATGTGTCTGTGGTAGGTATGGGGGTTTTAGCTGGCAAGCGTTGGCACCCTCACTGGCTTACACCCCTGCTTGTGATTCTGACTTAACTCTTCAAACGTGCACTTCTTGACTCTTAAACTTCAAGTCTTCAGCCAAACCAAGAAATCCCATCTGGAGAGATGCACTTTCAAGGCTCCTCCGGGTCTAGCGCTCCTGGCAGCTCCGTGCCCCCGTCGTTCGCGGGTGAAAGCGGTGAAACATCCAGCTGCTCGTCCTGCCACAAGCAGGACCAGCTGCCGACCCAGAGCAGCTTGGGGAGAGAGAACAAACAACGGATCCATTGTGGGTCGGGACATTTGGAAGATTTCGGGATGAGGATGCTTCATGTGATTTGATCTTAGAATCTATGTTTCTGCGCCCAGTGTCCTTTTCTAGCAAATGAAGCGGTAGCTCCCTTGCGGGGATTCGCTTGGGGTGGTGCTAGGTAAAGCCTCCCCAAAACGGTCCATGGCCTACCCTCCCAAAAAGTAAAAAGCCAAGAATGACACATCACAAAGCGCCGAGCAGCCTGTGCCCTGATTAGTCTTGAGGACTATGCCCCACCCTTTTCACTGGGCTCACCAAAATGAGCCCGCCTACAGAACTAATTGGCTAATCCATAATCCTGCTAATCCGAAAAATGTCTGTAGTGGGAGCAATCCGTGATCCATAGTAATCCGCCATCCTGATATTCCGTATTGCGATACAGGCCCAGGATGGGGAGAAGTGTTCACCGTTCACACAGCAAAGCACAAAACAAGCCCCTGGCTGAACCCAAAAATGAACATATCCACTCACGCTACTGTGGTGTGGGGCTCTCCACCTGCAGCCACAATCCCATATATGGACCCTCACAGCCCCGATTTGGAAGCAAATATAAGCAGATCCAAACCCCTGAGCCACTCCTCCTCCTCCTGGTCGGCCAAGCGGTCGCCCTCTGGGTCAAAAGGATAGAGGTTTCCTCAAGGACTGTGAGTGGCAAGAAGTTGAACCGGAACACCCGTGGAGCTCGTGAGAAGGAGTGCAGGATTTCTTGCAGTGTGCAGTTTCAAGGGCGGTCATGGCTATGCGGAAACTGCTCCCGCATGATCAAAGCGATAAACGCGCTCTGAAACCACCGGTGGAACTCCCTGGTCAAAGGGGTGCACTAGGCTCTAGGCTTGCTAGACTCGAACGCTTCAGCTTGACTTAGTCTTCAGTGTTGAACACCGCTGTTCCTGATTCTCGGGAATCTATGCCAAAGCTGTGCAGGACACGGCGGGACCTCGGCCCAATAGCGCCGAAGCTCGCTTCATCTCCGCCACGTTGGCCGCCGCTTGCTGTCGTCGGATGCTAGGGGCACTCAGGTCCAGTAAGGTGGAGTCTTTCCTGAGCCGAACCACTGCGATGGCTCCATCGGTCCATCTCCAGATTGGTCAAAAACACGGGCAAAGCACCTGTTCCTTTGGATGGGTCAAGAGCACCTTCATTTCATCACTAAAAGAAAATGAACGCGGTGAAGCAACTCATATTTCAATTGGGCCTAAGAATGTGTCTTTTCGAGGGGGTGGGTGGATCATTGCTGGAAAAGAGGCCAGGACTTTCTTTTGGGAGAGTGCTGCTGGCTGCATGCCACAGTCAGCAAGACTGGCCAAGTGTGGAATAGCTAAGAATAGCTTTGCAGGCCCTCTGGCATATGGCCACCAAGGCCCTCCAAAAAGGCTAAGTGGAAGCCATCAGGGTAAAAAATCCGCCCACCGAAGAATCTGCCCAGCAAGTCCAAGCAACACTGACAAATGGCCCATGTAGGGTATGGAGTCAAACATGGTGTCCTTCAACATATCCTCGAAAGCTCGCAGGCCGTCAGAAACGAAAACATCGACGGTCGCACAGGTCGACGGACGAACCAAACGGCAGCCTGAAAAGCAAATGCAAAGAGGCGAACACATTTACAACAACGGCAAAGCTATGTTGTGCACAAAAGGTGTAGAGTAGATGATAATACAACTCCATCCTAGTCTCAAGACAAACTCCGTCAGCCGAACTACAACATAAATAAGGCCAGTAAGGCTATACAAAGAGCAATGGGAATATCACGGCAGCTTTGACCCACAGCCATGTCACTCTTCAGACTTAAAGGCAAATAGTTTCTTTGTTAGTGGGCCAGCCGAGCAGCACACAAGAACAAATGTTCGAGCGAGCGGACGTTCAGCCAAACAGGCTCAAGTCGGCCAAGTACAGTGGCTTCAGAGGTTCGATGGCGCGGAACCCCCAAGTTGGGTGGTTATATCGACCTCCATCTGCAAGACATCCACAGGGGTGCCATTTCTCACCTCTAAAAGCCACGGAAGACCGGGTCATCCGCCTCATGTCTCACCCCAGGTGACAACCGCTCGCCCGAACGGTCCAAACGGTCCAACGTTCGTCTGCCGCGGAACGATGTGCGCTTGCGTCTTCAGGGTCTGGTCGGTGTGCATCGGCTGGATGACCCGGTGGCCCCGGGGCGGCTTGGAGCCCGGAAGCAAGATCCGTCGCTCCATCAGGACGCCGAACTGGTAGATATGGTGCTCCTGGCCGATGGCATGGTGGGAAAGCCGGGCATCTTGGGGTTTATGATGGGGTTTATGGTTTAAGGATGTTTAGGGTTTAAGTATGTTTTAGTAAGGACATTTCAAGGGGCAATAGCTGGATGGCAATTAGAGCGCCGGTTGCTTTGCAGGTTACTTGGTGGTTTCCACTTGCCAGGGTGCTTCAACCTTCCACGGCAAATCCTCACGATCACTGTCGGGTGCGGTCGCTTTCGATGCTTCAGCTTCGCCAAGAATGGATCAATGCCTCACCTCACCATCTGCGACCCCGAAACGCAGCACCTGGCACTCTCCACCCAACCCACTTCGCCTCAATCTGTCTCTCTCCACCTCCACTCCTTCCCTCTGAAAACTCATCTTCAGATCGACTTTCCATCCCTCCCTCGTGCCTTCTGCCCCTTAGGACCGAAGTACATCCCACCGCCGTGGCGCTTGCCAGCCGCCCACGCGCCATGGAACTCTGCACCGTTGGCGTGATAGTAAACCCCCTTGCCGCTGCATTGGCCTTATAGGAAGGATAGAACAAACGTCGATGGACGGGCGTTGAACATGGCTTTTGTCAGCCATATTCAAACACACATCTACGACTATATCGCACAAATCTACGCTGCAAGCACCTTAAGATGTGAAACCTGAACAAACGCGTTCCCAGCTGGTTTGTTCCCAGCTCGGTCTCCCGGGAAAACCTTCGAAAGGCCAAAATCGGATCCCTCGGTCAGATCGGGCATGAACTATGTTCGTTTCAAATCCAATGGCTGCGCAAATAGCCGTTCAGCCGAATTTTTACTCCGAAGCCTTTCAGAAGAAGTCCAAATATGACAGCCATATGGGCAAAGCTAGGCTTCTGTGATTCTGAAGCTAGAACTGAATGATGTTTCTGCTGCATTTTAGGTGCTCATGGCTTTTGGATGTTTTGGGCGTCCTACCGGTCACCCCAGTGCGGGAAAGTGGATGGTTTGCCTCGGGTCCATTCCTACATAAGATCTTCGCCCCATCACCCCGTCCACTGTGCCGGGTAGCCTTGGTACCACGTACCGTGATATTCATCGCCATTCTTGTAGAGCTGCTTCCCCGCACCATGCTTCAGGCTTTCCTCCCATTTCCCATCATAGGTGCCTGACCATACCGTACCCCACCTGGCAGGCCACCTCCGCCACCTCCCCGAAGAAAAACATGCATTATGCAACGAAGGCGTGTACACCAAGATGACCCCCACACATGTATCAATTCCTGAGCAAACAACGTATTGGAAAGATGGTCTTCATCATAGTGAGCACATTGAAATCTTCCACCCACAAACTAAAATGAGTTGCTAGCTGGCGGCCCCTTCACAGAAGTGTTGGCACGTGAAAGACAATAAGACACCTATAGACAAAAGTAGCCAGGCACATACTGTAATTATAGGCATCATATCCCTCATTATAGGTCACAACCACTCACTCCCTCTGACAGCCTTGCCTTTCCCGTCTGCTTGACAATCAATGCCAGCACTTTTGAATGCCAGCATCTTCAACGGAGAATTGAAGATCTCAAATCCCCACATGTCCAAGGTAAGTCGATTGCCAGCATCGTCACTTTTTTCAAGCCACTCTACGCCCAAACAATTGGCACAATTGGCACCAAATCAGGCTCCTACGAAATTGGAGAAGGGTTCAATAACTTCCCCAAGACATATTCCAGCACCACTTCTACAAGGCTCTGTATACATTAGCTTTTGTGTTTATCCCTTTACCAGGCCTTCAGGGGACCAGTCGCCCATCCGTGACCCGCGCCGCGACACCGCAGCGCCGCGCCTGTGCTGGACTGAAACAGTCCCTGGCCGTGCTTCTCCCCGTGAGACCAGAATCCGTCGTAGGAACCTGGGACGGTGGTTTGAACAGTCTATGTCAAATAAGTGTAAGAGGGGCTCATTCACCACTGCATGATATTCAGGTACATGTTATCATCCTGAAGTTCCTCATTGGACAACATTGGACAAGACTCAATGTCGACTTTTAAGAGGGTCCTGGCAGCTGTTGTGCATATGGATGTTTTCATCCTAGGGATGCTTCTGAACAAGCTAGCAGGCAAAGTAGACATGTGACATGGCCCCGTTCATAGGCAAATCACGTCTTCCAAGAAAGCCGTGTTGTTCGCCTAATTTGCTGCCTTGGTCAAGGCGATGCTCATCTGAGTATTTCAAAAAAAGACCAGACTCGGCCAGGGACGAAAAACTTACAAAGAGTAAAATGGATTCATTTTGGCATGTGGCAAGGTCTAACACGTTACCAACAGCAAAACATGTGAACCACTTCCACGACTAGTGGCCAAACCGCGTTTAAAGGCGATCTCCCAATCCAGTGGCCGAGGTGCTGTCTGAATATTTCTGGACGCCGTGCCGGTGTCTCCTTTCATGCAGGAACCTGGGCTTCCAGCTGGACAAACAGTAGTCCGCACCGATTAGCAATACCATATTGAGCTGGTGGGACGAGGAACTTTCATGTAGAAGTTGCTCACGACGTTTGTCGTTTCATTGTTGCATGCCAACCGAGTACCAGCATGATTTGACCTACAGCATGTTAGGTGAATTGAGTTGCTTCTTGTACTTTACTCATGACTTCAAGAACTGCAAGACGATCGCGCATATTTTTGCCATGGGCATTGCACAAGTTCGATGCGCCTTTTGGCCACCCGATTCCAAAAATAACGTGCAACATGTTCAAAGCGCAGGAAAGAATAACATGCCACACTGGACAAAAAACGAGATAGATGGTTATTTAAGAAAAAATGAGATATGCTTGAGATATGCTATGATAGGGTGTCCAGGATAGGGCGTCCAGGAGAGGTAGACTTGGACAACAAATGCATACACTGGGAATCACTGGGATAAATAATCTTCTCAGGCTTTCTGGCAAGGATTGGGCTCCAAAAAGCAGCCTGGTCGAGCTGAGGTGTTTGTGGTGGTCAATATGCTGCAAATGCTCCATTTCCCCAAATTTATGCCATAGACTTGTTTGTCAAAATTTGCAAGTTGCAGGATGTTGCAGGCATCCAAGAGTAACCCCATTCATCAACGTTGCAATGCCAAGCGTTGAGCAAGAGAGCGTGCTGTAAGGAGTTTAGTCAATTCTGTACCTGTATTGGGTCCTGTTGCACCAGGTCTTGCAGCTCCCCAAAAAACATGTCCTTTGACCTATACTATGATGGCATCTCTTTTGCACGCAAAGGTTGCTCCAGGCATCCAAGCTCTCCAAGCACAACTAAGCTAAATAGATTCCCATACATCTTCCAACACACACACGCACACAAAATACCAAGAAGGGTGCACTACTTGCAGTGGTCCCCTGTTCTGAGAAGAAGAAGGCCGAACTCGACCAGGACACTCGGACTCTCCAGTTCGCCCAGACACTGGCCGCTGTAGCTGGCACCGGAGTTGGCCTCAAGGAGGTGTCCCACGCCGTTGCGCATCCTCACCTTGAACGTGCCTTCCTCAGGTGCATCGGATCCATTCCGGGGCGGTTCGAAGGAGAAGGGTGCGATCTCACCGTCCGAATCTCGAGGAACCAACGCGGTGAGGTCGGCACAAGCATGAACAACGCTGAGAAGGGAAAGAGTTGTGTATCTGTCTAACGCAGGTCTGATGACCCAAGGCATGAAAGGACGGCCATCCTGAAGGAATGGAGTCAACAAAGCTCCAGTGAGGGGAGTTTCCTTTCTTCTCAGAACTGGGATCTGAAGAGGGTGCGCCACGATAGTCAAAAGGAAGTGCATGCTACTAAAAAAGAATGGGTCACTTCTAGCAAGTCCTCGATACCAATAAAGTAGCTGCATGCTTACTATCTCTTGGCTTAGGCTCTTAGGCGTTTTGTGCATCATCAGTGACCTATGCTTAGTGATGCTTAGTGGTATATACATGCCTGCACAATGGAATCTTGATGAGCTCGCTGATCAGGACTCCTATCAAGGGAGCATGAACCCAACAATTGCTTCACTGGTTGCAGCAAGGGGAAGTCACCAAGGAAGCGAGAGGAGCCCCCAGAATCCAAAGCGAGGCTTCAACCAAGAATAGTCAGAAGAGTTCCAGACTCTACATGGCAGGGAGAGAAAATGGGAACTCCATCCGGAGTCTTCCGGCGTTCAACTCAGCCCAGGCGTCATAGAAGCCGGACTCATCATCAAACCTCAGCCGTTTTGGCTCCCAGTACCAGCGACCGAGCGAGCTGGACAGGCTGGACATGTCTAGACTTTCTTCACTCGACATCCCTGGGCCGTCTGGGTGGGGTAACGCATGGGGATGGCATGCCTAGACCTTCAACTGTTGACAACAACTAGCATTGAAGCTCTTTTTGCAGGAAAAGAATTTTTGAGAGAACCGGCCTTTAAAAGAATCGGGATGTTACCGGATGTCACTGCACCCACCTGAAGCTCCATGGCATCAAACAAGGCCCAACCAGGGATCTGGTTGGTGGTGTCAACACGCTTGGTAAAGATATCACTGACTGGGTTCAATCACCAAATGCTAGTATCTGAACATACAAATGCTAGTAACATACAAATGCTTAGTAAAGGTTGAACATACAAATGCCAGTATCTGACACCGCCACCATTTACCAATCCCTGTGGAACGTCTTCGCACCTCAGCTGCACCGAGGTTCGCTGCACCGAGGTTCGGAAGCTTGGCGGACCGCCCCGTGTCCAACTCCAGGGTCTCGACCACTTGACCCAAACTTCCCGTCGACCACTTGACCACTCCCCCACTCTCACCCATCAAGTGGAAACCATTTGTGCCTCAAACAGGTGCATTAAACCAAGAAGGATTCGTTTGCAGGACAGGTAGGATAAGGTAATTTGGATGCTTTTTCATGTGTGAGGCGCACTCAAAGACCGAGCAGCTCCTCATGTGCAAAGCCGAAGTCCTTGCGCCCCAGGTCGCTGGTGAGCTCTCGCCTAGGCACCAACCGTGAGGCCTACTGCGAAGACTGTGCGGACCTAGAGTTAGAGCACAACGTCCACTCGTGCCGTGGCCAAGTTCACGGTCAGTCTTGGAGAACCCTTCAACCAAAGTGGAGAAGGGACCTCGAAGACCAGTGAGGTTCCTCAATAAAGGGATTCTGTTCGGCTGCCATGAGGAAAGGTATGGGGGAAGATTCCTCAGCTCATGACCTTAGACCTTAGGAGGCCACACCACGTGGAAAAACCCTCCCAGACGCGCTGAGAAGCCCAACGATTTAGAGTAATGGGGGCACATAACGAAGTTCGACTTGGGCAAGAGAAGCTGGCTGTAGTTCAATACGTTCCAAGTTCCAAGCGAACATGAGTTTTCCAAAGAGCAAATCATCACTATCCTGAAGGTGAACCCCAAAAAGACCATGGATCAACACCAGCCAATCCCATGGAGTGTTTGTGACATTCTGCCATTCTGATCTCCACCATGTGTGGTGCACACCTCTCCTCTCCTCTCACCTCCATCCCTCCAAGGCGCTTCTTCTTGGGCCGCGACACGCCGGCGACGAAGGTCTGCGCCGCCGTCAGGGCGTGGCCGCTGAAGAGGGCGCGCCCCACGGCGTCCATGGCGGCGCGGTGGGCTTAGCCGGGCTCCCGGCTAGAGCGCGCAGGGTGGAGGGCGGAGCGGTGCGGAGGGGTGCGGAGGGGTGGAGGTGAGAAACTGGATTTCGTGGGCAGGCTGGTGGGAGAGTGGAGGAAGGGGAAAGGCATCAATAGGCTGTGTGCGAAGTTTGTGAAGTGACATGCTGATATTGTACCTTGTGGTGGCTTCTTGGGTGGAAGCCGTTGGGTCCAGGTGGCCTTGTGGCGCTCGTTGGCATATTGGCATGAGGAAGGCTGTGACATGTCATGTATCTCTGGCCGTGAAGACTTGAGTAGCACGCCTCGTGGCCACGTCTTGTGCTTCAGTGCTCAGAGCCTATTTTTCTTCATCGGAGCATAGCACATCGCTGGGAGATCTTCGACGCCATGGTGATCAGCTGCCTTGGGGAACTGCAGCTGTTTTTTTACACTTACCCAAAGGCAAGAACATCGTCAATTCCACGACCATTCCTGAATTGTATGCAAGAGGGATCAAGAGGGTCAAGTGGACAGAAAGGTTTTACCTTGCGGGTCTTGCACACCGGCGCATATCCCCCAGCAATCTGATTCATCTGGTACTTTCCAGTTCATGCAAATCACACCCCTGCAATTCTCCAATGCAATATTTGTACGGCAGCAATGGTGGTGGTGCCTGGCAGCAATGTCGCTTAAACAAACAATGGATCTGAACATATGATGTGGGTCAGCTCTTTCTAGCACCCTTCGTCCAAAAAATTGATGAATATAAACAGATCCGCTTTAAGGGGTGCCGAACTTCAACAAGCTCTGGAGGGACACGTGCCAGCCGCGACAGGCCCTCCCCTTCCGTCTTTTCTCAATGCTGATCGTCGAGTGCAGCACAGGTGCAGCGCTCTAGGCAGGGCTGCCGTGAGCATCACAACAGGTCCCAAGAGCAAGTCTTTTCGGCCAACCACCTACCTACTTTTGCACGTTTGCAGCTTGCAGCACTGAAAATAAAGTCATGAAGCAGCCATAATTCATCCATATTCCACACAGAATGCATGCTGGAGCGTTTGGAACACTTTCAGGTTGCCACTGGCTCTTTCATGTCTCAGACTCAGGCTTCTGGCCCGAAGACCAGCTCCTCCACCTCCTGGAGGAGCAACGGCTCTGCCGGCGACGGCTCCATGTGGCTCCGTCGGGCTCCAATGGTATTAAGTGATCTCCAAGACCAGGTGTGGCTGGGCTAGACATACCCAGATAAAAACAAAGGAAACTATATCAAACAAGTACAGCCGTCCAAACATTGCAGGCATGTTTTTTTACGCATTGCATGATCCTGTCTCTTTTTGCAGGAGTTGGAGGTGGTCATGCAGGTCATACTGAATGCAACCACCAGGAGGGCCACTCCAACCCCCCCCCAAAAAAGTGCCCGTGAACACTTATATATAAAAGATATGCATGCAGTACAGTAAGTTGTAGACTTGCGGCCGTTGAAGGCTAGACTCATGATCTCCAACTGAGGAGTTTCCCTTAAGATCATCTCTGTTGGGTGATTGCAAGCTATTCTCCAAGTTGAGTCGACATTACACTTGATATTGTGAACAGGTCCCGTTGCAAAGTGTGGTCGCTTCATTTTTTCAGAAAAGACTCCGTGGAATTCAATGACGACATTGAGAATCAGAAAAAGAACACCCCTTCGATCGCAGTTGTTGAACAAAAGGTCGAAGGAGTTCTTGAAGGGATGAGTCCAAAACAGCAAAACAGAAAACACACTACCACTGGGCTCTTGGCAGTCCATAGGTCCTTTACTAAGGGCAGTTTAAACAAAAAACGCCTTAGTGGCTTAGGAAGCAATGCTATAAACTAAAAGGACCAAGGGTCTAAGAGCACACCTGAGGACAGTCAAAGAGTAGAGTTATCTCTGACCGAGCAGTGACTCCACGCCGCACTCAAGGTCTCGCCTTGTCAGTGACGTCCCGGAAGGTCTCCAGCTCTTTCAGCTCCTCATCCGTCCAGGGCGAAATCACCCGGATTTCCGCATCGCAGTACCTCTCGGGCCGCAGGAACCGAGCGAGCTCGGCCTTCCGGCGAGTTCGCCGGACCAGCTCGTCCCTTCGTCTGGCGGCGTTTGTCATCTAAACGATCTGACGGCCCAGGGGCTCGATGCATCAGATTGCTTGTGGCTGACGAGGTGTCACATATACACCATCATCTAAGATCATATTTCAGCGGGACCTCTACAATTTTGACCACATGTGCTTTTTACAGCTTTACTCAACACAAACAAACGGAGGTTCAGCTCTGTTTGTCAAGTGGGAAGGCCAAGGGGCCACTTCTTGCTGCCAAACAGCACATGTCACATGCCCACATTCTTTCCTACTGCCCTACTGCAGCTCCAGGGATCTCCACTATCTTCGCTGATGATTCCCCAGCCATGCCGCAGGGGTCCTAGCAAATTCCATGCAACTTCCTGATGTGGGGGTTGCGGAAGAACGAGGTTGGTCTGGGGGGATTGTTTTGGGGGGTTCCAGTGTTTCATCAAGTCAGGGCATCAGCTGAATTCATCCCAGGCACTGCAGGTACAAGACTCTGCCCACACAGCCTGCACATCGAGGGTTCAGGCTGCTTGGTAGGTCTGGGGACAGCATGCTAGCATGCTTTGGGACATGACCTGGAGGAAAAAGAAGATCTGAGGCACAAGGCTAAGGGGCACCTCATTGGCATGAGCTGATTGACAGTAGGTCTTTAGGTCTTTGGATGTCTGCTTAAAGGTAGGGTGTCCTTCTGGGTGATCGACCCTGACGTCCGATCCATCGGGCCGACTTCCTCTCCAAATGGTCACATCTCATCAGTCATGGCCAATACCAAACGGCACACAAGTACAGTATATGCGATGGGCCATCCGATCCCAGCAATTCGGATCCCCAAACTGTTGGAATCATGGAAGAAAAGTTAGCGAAAACTCTCTGACTCTGCCTGGGCAGTCGGCCACCTCTTTGATGCGCTGCAGCAACCCCGCCAAGCGACCCATCCTCCGTCCAATCGCACGAGGATGCAACACCAAGATAGGAGTTATGGACCATTCGCACATACCAATGCATAGTGAACATACACACTCAGGTACCTGATGTATCTGATTGATACCCTCAGGCATGAATAGAAACTCAGACATGGGATGGATCGCCTCGAAACTCCTCTAACGAGGCACCAGGAAACTTGGATTTCAGCGCAAATTCCGCGCATCCATTTCGAGCGCAGGTTTGCGGAGAAAAGCTGTGAGGTGGGCAGGGTCCATGGCCAACCAACCATTGCCTGTGATTGTGCTCCATATCCAAAAAAAAATCTTAACAAAGGGCCAGTGCAAACACCTAGCTTCTTGGAGATATTCCACGAAGAATTGTGTTTTCAAACGTGAATGACTCACATACTGCGTAAACCAATGCCATTTGCGGGCTCATGCAGCTTGAGTTTTGGGGGCTACCACGGGTTGCATCATTTCTTCATACATCAAGGCCGCAGCAAACTTGGTGACAGCCGACTCACATCTACCTAAACATCTGTCAACCTCACCCCATATTCAACATTCAACCAATGCCTTCCCAAGCATCAATATCTGGGCATCCTCTTCCAAGGAAGGCCGATCCAGCTTGAAATCCTCTTGCGTCAGTTCCTGCAAGTCCTGACGCGGACGGACGCGTCGGTGGTGGGCCCAGGACCAACGGAACTCATCGACGAACAGCGTTGACAACCAAAAGGAGACGTGAGACTGAAGGTGACATCAATATATTACTAGTACGTGAGAGTCAGAGCATGGCAGGATTGTTGATCCAAGATAGTTTACCAAATCTGGGATCGGGCCTTAATTCAGAAGGAATGGGAGAAGAGGACATGTTCCATATAGATCGTCCGCTCCTGTGGAGAAATTCCATTAGCGAGAATTTTCAGCAATCACAGGAGAAGGAATAGTTTGAGGTAGCTTGTGCTCGTGCTCTTTTCCTTCCCCCCTCTTCCCTCTTCTAACTCAGCAAAGCATCCACCAGGAAGCCCCGGTCGACGATGCCGCGCACCAGCATCCCAACGTCTCCCAGTTGCATCTCCTCACTTCGTTAAGGACTCGATTCAAGGAAGGTTGCCGGCCATACCCATACCGCAGTTGAACACATGATCTGATATGACTAGCATTTCCATGAGTCTCAGTGTCTCAGTGGGTTTTGGTCCGGTGGAAACCATTTTCATCCATTTCCACAAAAGATGAGCAGTATCAAACTGCTTGGGAAAGTTTGCATGCCTGAAAAAGCAGTAGTCATTCATGCATCGCTGGGCATGAATCTTTGGTGATGGTTCTGAAATGCTGTCGAAAACATTGGCACTACCTGGAATACCACCCCAAACGCGCACACAGAAATATCTGCTTGGGGTGACTGGGGTGGTGTGTTCGCCTGATACGAACCCAAAAGGCAAACAAATGCACGGTTTGTTCATGGTTTGTTCAAGTTCCAAGTAGTTGTGTGAAACAAAAGCGTGGAACTCCTGTCAAAACGGACGGACACTGGAAATCTGAACAAACCCACTCTGGCAGAAATCTAGTAACCACTTGCCCTATGTGATCTACATTGCGGATTACAGCATGCTCCTTCGTTCTGCCATGTTCATCCTGTTCGACAAGGCGTCGATGCAGGTCTTGTGGGACTAGGTTGCGAGTCAAGTCGAAGCATACTGAGGATGACTAGCCGCCTGCTTGGTCCGGCCATATTTGGCCTTCATCCCTGCGGTATTTCAGAAATAGGTGGGGAAGAAGGAGACACATGGCTGGGTAAAGGCCAGGATACCTTGGCTGACTTGCCTGGGAGGTCGTTCGCTACATGGTGGAGGCTTCAGGATTTGAGGCATCCCCACGTTGTTCTTTAATGGCAAGTCTCTGCGTACTTCGTGCCGAGCGTGGGGCTCCAAATGTCCCCAGCATCACGCTCCTGTGAACTCCAACGGACGCGCGGACGTAGGTTGGCTGTAGCACATGGGTTGCAAACAGAACGTCAACAACGAAGGAAATTCCATAAAATTCCAGAAGTGGATTTTGGAATCAACACGCAATAATGCAGGGGGGCTGGTAGAGGACACCTGGCCAATACCTGTGGCTACTTTCTTCAGTCAACTAGGATGATCTGGGCCACGTGAATGGCGTGGGCTCCCACCTCCGAACTCTTTGAGCCGGGACAGACGAACAAACCGATGTGGGACGGCGCATGCCAACGGCGCATGGCAGCACGTCCATCCGTCTGAATCCCGCCATTTTCCACAGGTGGTACGTGGTATGTGGTCATGTGGCACGTGAGGGCCAATCCCCAACACGTTGATGTTGAGGCTCTTAATGCTCTGGCAGAAGCAATGAAGTTGGGTGCAGCCCTTGAGCCAGTTCTCCCCCTCCCCTCACCACCAGCTCCACCCAGCCCCACACGCCACATGCTGCCGAGCTGCGTTGGCGGTCGAGCACTGCACGGCCATGCCAGGGTGTGGCATGTCCTCATCATCCACGGTGGGCATGGTGCAAGCGATGGGCACACGGACGACCAGCTTCAGGTCACCCAAGTTGTAGCTCAAGATGCCTCGTTGCTGGTGAGTCATGGGGGCCAGCCATCCTTCAGTGAATGAGTTGCACTGGGGTAGACAAACATGGGGGAAAACAAATCAGGCACTTCTGTTTGGCAGTTCCACCATGCCAATGGAACATGGGCAAGGGACCGGGCATATCTTCCGATGCGATCCAGTATGAACCTTTCGTGGATGTAAAACCTTCTCAAGCTCCAGGACGCGGCAGCCCACGCCCCCGGAAGACGGAAAAGGAACTGACCCCCGGATGCAGGAAAGATTGTAATGAGAAAACAATGTTTGATATCAGCTCCTGTTGATTCACGTTGCTTCCAGGAAGTTGTTGCTCAATTTGTTCTTATTTTTCTGCAGTTGACCTAGTTCACCAGGGTTCCCGCTTTGGAGCCTGGTTCCTTCCTCTTCCGGTGTTGAACGGCCCATTTGTCTGACCGTTCAATTCCAACCTAAGAGGCGCTGCCTGCAGTTGACCACTCATCCAAGTGGGCCTAAAACCGGCAACACCATCGAACATCCCTTGGTGACCTCCAAAAAATAAGAGCCTCTACTGGAGCCCCCACCGCCCTTGACCCCCTACACATCTGCAAATGTCTCACATTTCTCTTTGAGCCACCTGTTTTCTTCGATGGGAAAAACCATCCGGAGTCGCTGAGACCGACACGCCGAGCTGCGGTAGTGGGTCGGGGCATCCACCTCGCGGATCGAGGGAGGTCCATCCACCTCGGGCACGGCCCAATTGGGCAACGAGGTCCAAGCGGAAGAGAAGCCATCGGATCAACCCAAGCGGAAGAGAAGCCATCGGATCAACCGGAAGTTGGAAGTGAAGAACGAAGAGTGAACTACTTCGGGGTCCAGTCACATGTGACGAAGCCAATTCAGGGGGCAACACATTGGATGCACATGTCCCTTCGGTAAAGCACACACCTCACACAAATGGTCCAAACGCTATGTTCGTTCTGTTCCTTACGCCGCATCCAGGGGCGTCCAAAAAATCGTCAGGGGTTTTCCCACACGGCGATAGAGCGTAGCGGCTTAGCGGCGTGAGTGACCGATGCTACCGATGGCCGCGGCGTCGAAACACACATCCTCCAGGCCACAGTGTCCTGACCGGTGACGACACGCTCAAAATTCACGTCGTAGGATCTCTTGTTGAAGTTTGCCGTGCCATTCGTCGCATTCTCCGGCACCCAGTTCCAGACTGTGCCTGGCAACTGACGCCGAAGCACGGTTTTACACCGGAAGTCGTGGTGGGAAAGTTGTGCGATCCGTTTTTTTTGGAGTGGCACCTTGCCTTCATCAACCTCAATGTTTTTGGGGAGGCATCAAGGTTGAGCACTCTCTCTCCCTGAAGAACTTCTCAGGACCCCAAACCCCTCTTATCCGGATGTTCTATTTTTTTCTTCGCTAGTGTGGAGGCCATCCTGCATCACATACTGACATACGGGAAGCCCACTGACAAGCCCGTGTTGTGGACTTCGCGCACGGGGAAACACTTTCTCAAGAAGGTTGGACCCCCCAAACCTACATAAAGTGTCTCCAATCAGGGTATGCAGTATGCGGAATAATACCTGTTATCTGGGAGTGATAATGAAATCTTCACCCCCACAAGGGCAACAGTAGTCACTAGTCCAGACACACCTGCGACTTTCACACCCTCATTTCCAAATCCACTTCTTCCCCAGCTGCAATGGCCCAGCAAACGCATAACAAACACTTCCAAGTAATTGGTCCCTTCTAGTCACAATGGTGTCATGTGAGTCATGTCCCATTTTCTAGCGTACCTTATTGTACCTGGGATTGAGACCAAAGGCGTGGTGGACTTTCCTGCCAAATCCTGTTCCTCTTTTCCTCCAGCACCTTGGATGATCCCGACGGGTCGCCTATGGAGATGGCGTTGGGGGCATCCGGCAGACGGCCCACACGGAAGAGATCCACACGCTCGGGCTCACTGCCCCGCCTGGGGAATCAGTTTCAGTTGAAAGAAGATGGTCTGATTCATCCAAGTTCGGCGTTTTCAACATCTGTCTTTTGTTCCGTTCGAACCTCCTCCCTTCTGATTCGTCCAAGTGCCAATGGGAATGCCTAAAGGAATGGTTTTGCCTCCTGCCCGGCACTGGGCAAGACTGCCCGAAGAACAAGTTCCAGCGCGGATGGTTCCGCAAGCGACCACGGGGACCAGGATGCAGTTCTACGCAAACACCCTTTTAAAAGCCTCAACTTATAGTGGCGCAGAAGGTCGTCCAGCGAGAGTACCCAAACCAGTCAAAACTAGACAAAGACTTCTTGTGGGGTGGGCTGAAACGTTCTTCTTTTTGGCCGGCGGGACGTAACGCTTGGTTCATTGCACTCAACTTCCCAGCCCCAGCCACAAAGGAGAGCTTTCAATTTCCAGCCCAGGCACCAAGAGCAGCATCTAAAAATCAGGGTTCAGAATGAATGTTTTACAATAACGATAGCAGAGAGCATGCCCGGAAAAATGTCAAACTGGTCAGTTCAGTCAGGATGAACATCAATCAACTGATCATGATTCAACATTCCGAACTCCACTTAAGCGGTTTATGTACGTTTAAATCTCCCTGAGCTCCACTCCACCTTGAAAAGTCCCAGGTCGATGACCCCACGCTGATCTCACCGTGTCCCTCACCGTCCCCGTGGCGCCTGGTGTTCAAGCCTTTGGCGCGCATGTCTTCCGTCAGAGTCCCATCGATCCAGGCAAGCATCGTGCAAATGGCCTGGCCCCGCGTGGGCACGGGGAGCTCGAAAAGGGCGCAGTCGATGGGGCCAAAAGGGCACGGAATCCGGGAATAGGGTTTCTCCAAAAACATCCTCCCTCAAACAAAAGTCGATTGGACATCCACAGGCTTCTGCACCTGGAAGCTGATGATGATGTCCGTGTCTTCCATGGAGAAGCCTCGGGACAGGAAAACACCTACGTTGCCTGATGTCGTCAGTCCGGCTGTCTCGACGGTCCAAGTGCCCCTTGCTTCCCCAGCGCGTTTTAAAATTATGATGGCTACAGCAGCGTCAGAATGCGATGATTGTTGAAGTGGAAAGCCTGCACATATCCTCCATCATTCTGTGTGCCACCTTTCCTCCACACCCGCGCTCACCAGTAGTCACCAACGAAAACACAAAATTCATCACAACCCTTTATGAAAGAAACACCACGCACCGTGACGTCCAGTTTTGGACACTGGGCCGGGTCTTGGGCCCGAACTCTGGAACCCAAGTGGCTGGTTCCGAACTCTGCCATCTGATCCTGCATGTCACCGGCGAAGGAACGCCCCAGGCACTGGTCCAACTCCGCCGGTTCTTTCAAACCTCGCGGAGGAGGCACAGCGAGGAGCGTTGGGGATTGATGGGGGGTTGTATCTGGTCCATTAGTCAATGGACTCCCTGTGTGTATGATGCAGCATGCTTATGGCGGTGGGGGGTTGGAACATGGCGAGGAAGGGAAACTTTTGCCTGATGGGTTGCTCACACCTCGCAGTCACAACCCCTATATAGTTGAGGCTATACTGTACAAAATACCACTTGAAGACGCCCCACAGACCGTTTGGTCCCACTGCCACCTCACACACCGAGATCCAAGCCTTTGGCCAGCTGTAGCTTCTCCGGCGGCGGCCGGTACTCCGGAGCATCGAAGGTGCTGGTTTCCCCGTCTGGGTGCTCAGTTAACTTGGCCACCTCCTGTGGGGAAAAACTGCCGCGGGAAACCGTTTCTGACCGGAAACGAGTGGATGGGAGAGCCGAATTGAACAAAATGTTCCAAAATGGGAAGGTGGGCATCAAAGAAATAGACAGGCAAAAAACTGCATGACAGGCGTGCAATTTTGCAACTCTTCTGTTCCAAAAATCCACGGCCAATGTTGAACTACGTGCAACTGAAAGGGTCGTCCGCGTGAAACGACATCACTCGAACCGGAAGCTTGTCAAAATATTGTGGGGCGGCCGCTTGCTACCGCGCCAGAGAATTGTACATCTTAGAAAAACAGAGTACAAATCATTAAAAACAAAATGTACTACCTTCTTTGTTGACGGACGGACGGCCCTCCACCAAACCTCTCCTTGAAGGCGGTCACCTTCGCTGGTGGATAATCCTCCAGTTCTTCGGCATTGAACCATTCGAAAACGTTGATGTCATCATCGATGGACAAGTCTTGTTGCCAATAACCTCAATTCACCAACCAGATATAGATATAGTAGACAATTACGTGGCAATTGGCACACCGCAACATTTCACAGCATTGCAAAGGCCTATGTTCAGCACAACCAGTTTCCAAAACAAACGTGCGAATAACCTCTAAACGGACACAAAGGAATTTCTATGTTTCCGCACATGGTGGCCATTCACACAAACAAACGTGTCTGCTCTTCGTAACCAAGTGTCCACTCTTGAGTTTCTTGGGGCCATAATGTCGCGGTTTGGCCGGCTTCTTCTTGGCCTTCCCCTTCTTTGCCGCCAAAACCGTTGAAATCACCACTACAGCCGAGGCCGCAGAAACCCCAGCTGCGAGGTGCGCTCGTGAACCACAGGCCGACGTTGGAACTGGTGGCCCCAGACGGATCGAGGAAGCCGGTGGTGTAGGCAATGCAACAAAATTGGGGAGGAGCTGCTGTGGCAGCGCCATGATCTTGGACTGCTACCCAGCCATGGCGTCTTTTTGAGCCAAGCTCCCCCAACATTTGAGCATTCAGTGTCAAGACCGTCCACTGCTGCAGGGCCATCTGGATTTGCAACACGTCATTCACGCCATTCAAAATGAACGCGGTTTTTCTAGAACCTTTGGTTTAGTACAGGGCAAACACCGCACAAACATACGAAAGGAGGCGCATATAAAAATGCACAATGCCACCGAAACAATATGATTTCAAATGGTGGGCAAAAGAACCGCCGTTGCCGCGACCACCACTTCTCAAAAGAAACCCAACCACCTCCTAGCCCTAGTTCATCCAGTGTTCCATGCGTGTTGCTTTGCATAGACCCCATGACACAAACAACGCATCCAAGCCGAGGAGCCTCTATATAAGTCCAATTACGGGCTTTAGACGTCCATGGTTTGGGTGCGGCCAGCCACGAGATACAGGCCCTCTCGCACAGTGACGACATTGTAACACTCCTCGGCGAATTGTATAAACTGCGGGCAATTTGCGCGTTGATCAGGGGAGGGGCTTGACAACAAACCACTCCAAAACTGTCCTTGCGCGTGCACAGTTTAAGTTTGCGCGGCTGGTTTGTTTTAGAGAGGGCTTACGGCAGGCCTACGCGACAGCAGTGCATTCAAATTTCCACACGCCCCTCGGAGGGAAAAACTTACGCGAAGATGCTTTGATGACAGCACAGGCACATACACACACAGCAGAAAGCGACCATTTTCACGCAGTGTTGGCCTTACTCTGGCACTTGCATGCTGTTTCGCTTGGAAATTGTGAAAAAATACCCCTGTTTTGGGGCAATGAGCGGGCAATTGTTCAAGAATCAATGAACATTGTCTTTACGCCTTTACGCGGTGCTTACGTGGAGTACCAGAGTTTACGCGAGCCGTACGCAAAAAGCATCTACATTGTCCGTGCTCTGGGGGTGTAATGTACTGTCCATAGAAGACTATTTACTTCAACATTTGCCGAGTCGTCTAGTGACAGTCGACATGGTTTCGGAAAGGGGTGCCGGCAAAACACATGATATATCAAAAAACATGTCAGTGGTACGCGTGTGCTACCTAACTATTTCTTCCAAAGAATACAGGGCAACTTTTCACAACAAACACTGCCTATTTTTTTGTAGTGTTCGCATGGATGTTCAACAAAGAAACAATTTTAACATCAATCATTGGATGGCCCTGACGGCACTTGGAATGATACAAACTTACGCATTTTTACAGCCCAGATGAGCACCAACAAAATTAAAAAACCAAAGTAACCCTTAGCATGGCCACAGCAAAAACTGAGGTGGTTGCAAAAAAAAAACGTGAACACAGTGGCAGTTCGACATGGAGTGGAGCTGGTCCGACGGGGAAGGGAAAATGACGAGGATAATTTTTCAATATGTTTAACTCTGCGGCCGGTTGGGGCTTACAGAAGGGCAGCTTGTCAACGAGGGAGTTGGAACCAACCTCGAAATCATGGCACATCAGTTCCCAACATGCTAGCCTTTTTGAAGCCACCATCACAATCGTCAGCTGCGTGTCAACTGTGTTAAAGTGTCCGAACATGGGCGGGCGTGAACGTGGCAGCCTGGTGGAATGGACGTCGCCCTTTTTCCAACCGCAGGAAAAAAACATTGACCGGTAAATGTACAACGAGGGACCCCACCACAGCTATGCAGCTGCAGCTCATTACCCTGCTGATTGCCGACGGCTATGTTATTGCTCCAGAATCGCTACAAACAGCGTGTCTCTGCATGGACACAGGCATTAAAACAACTTGCGTTGCACTTGGGACATAGTGATGAAATAGCCCACTTGAATCACTTGACATAAGTTTTATGAAAAACTTGACTTTTTTTTTTTCTCATTGCTCAAGCACTCCCTTGCAGGATGCAGCTTCCACCAAGCAGATTCGTGCATCCTTCACCCAATTCCGAACATTTCCCTTGAAGCTCTTAAACAATTCCTCTAAATATGAAAGCATTCGCCTGCGTGGCTGGTGGCCTCTGAAATATACTCGGTTCTACTGGGACCCAGGGTCTGTACCCGGATTTTTGGGGGGACTGACCCTTTCTCAACCCGATCATGTGGATAAATTTGAGGGACCGAGGTTCGAGTTCAGGCCAGGAAAACGCAACAATAAATAAACAATTTTGAATCGCGTGGCGTCGCAAAGGTGAACATCAGGTTCGTCTCCAAGATCTCTGGTTTCCACCTTTCCCCCCCCCAAAAAAAACGTGCATTTTGTGGAACGTGTTTTTGCTAATGGGCTTAAAGCCGCGCGTGTAGTGAAACTGATTTTTCATACAGTCTTTTGGGGGGCAAGAACACACACAAACACATGCATTGGAATATGGAAGATGGGGACACGGGGGGTTAGGGGGGGAGGGGGTTGACGTTCATGTTGTGTGCATTTTATCAGGAAGCCATACACGCACACGCTGTGGAAGAAGGGGTGGAGGGGTTGGGTGAGGGGCTAAAGACGTTGCATGTTCAGTGCAGTCATAGTGCATACGAAGATAAAGCGAAACACACACACACACAGGCCGATACGCACAGGTGGTCGGGGTGTGCCAATTTTTTTTAAAAGACGTCGACGCATGGAAACTTGGCTTGGTGGTTGCCGACTGTTTGTTTGTTCATTCCGAAATTTTTCCGTTCGGAGGTTTGTCAGGTGCTTGAGATGCTTGAGTCGGTCCCACTAGCTTGCGTTCACGTAAGGGTGACGGTAGAAACCCAAACATCATGAAGTTCATTCAAAGTGGCAACGGCGCTGGCACCAGAATAGCGATCTTCTGACGAAGTTGGTCAGATGTTTTGTCCCACAGATTGTGATGTCAAAATCGCAACGATTGTTCAGTTATTTTCATGTACTACATGCGGAAACAAACCTTTCACACCAATGCAAAACACGGTCACACACCGGACATTCGTCATCATTGACCACGTGAAGTCTTTACAAATGTCTTCAGCCGCACGCGGGGAAACGGGCCCGGCAGGATGTTTTTGTCCGGATTCTGGTCTTTGTCTCTAGCCTTTTCTGGGGTTATCGTTGTAAAGTGGCCCGTGCAACCCCTCCATGAATCTTTTGGTTTGAACAAACTCAACTTTGGCAGCAAACTCTGGGAGAGGAAAAAATTGAACTGACACGTCGTAGCAAAACCCACCGGAGAGGGCATCGGAGAGCACATTGGATAATTGGCAAACTTGGTATCAAAACACACCAAAAGTGGTCTTTGCAATAATTTGGTAAAATGAAAAATGCGATTTGGAATTTGCATGCAATCATCTATGCTGAACTGGGGAAATGCGAAGGGCAATGTTTTTTTTTGATCCCCCGCGGGCGTACACGCTCTCCTTTCTGGTGGCTGAAACGTTGAAATGGTGAGGTGACACCGATGTGAGACCAACACGGCCCTTTGGGCACAAATCCAGGGCCATGGGAGGGCGCAACCCCAGGCCAGAGCAAATGTTTTTTTTTGGAAAACAACCCTACAATGTATATAGCAAGCTTAACCCCACCAATTCCCTAAGGAACATTCTTATGCATTTTTCCATTTTTGCACATACACACGCTATAGGTTTGGGTGGGCTCATGGGAGTGCAAGGGGGAACTTGAACTGACAGGTTTGCTAAAACCTGAGCACTACATGGTTGAAACTGTTTGCATTAAGTTGTTTTTGGTGCATGCAGCTGGGGTTTGACCACGCCCCCCTTGACTATAGACGTGGGGGGGCTTGTTGTGTGAAGAGGATGTGTTCAACTGAAACATGTGGTTTTTGGGTTGCTGACAGAAATTATAACAGGTTAGTTGACTGTGTTGTGTTTAAATAGTGATGGCATTGGTGCCAAGAGCTGGGCCTACAACTATTAAACCCTTCGGATTGCAAAAGGCTAAGCACGGGCGCTTTTGTTTGAAGCAGGGGGCGGCTTGAATGGAGAAGTGTGCTAGTTGGTGTTGAAGGATAAACATATCCGGCAGTATTTGTTTACACATTTTTGCTGTAATAACAACTGTATATTGTTTTTCCTGCATATGAGTGAACATGTTTGAACGCAGTTCTTGCCAGAGATTTGCGCCAGATCCTTCATGTGGTGCATGAATGTTTTTTGGGCAGCCTGGTCAGTTGGTTGAGACCTCCG